GGTTTTTTCGGCAAATGCTTCTAGCTAAGCAAACTAAAACTGGCCGCCAGAACTGTTAGGAAATATCCCCTTAAAATTTCAGCTTTCTGGCTTTCCTGGCAACTGAGTTAGCAACTTATTGGAACAAAATTTTCACGGGGCCGTGCATGTTTACCAAGCATGCCTGAGAGCTGGGTTCGAGCTGAATGAAACTTAGGTGTACGGAGTATATCCTCTTAAAATTACATTCCTTTAGCTTCTCAGGTATTTGATTATCAATTTACACGAAAAAAAACTTTGGCGGGCTCATATGTGGGTACCACGTTTACCTGGGGGCTGGTTTTGAGCCCACTAATACTTGCTTGGGCGGGAAACATTCCCCTAAGATTTCGGCCTTCTAGCTTCTCAGATCCCTGAGTTATAAACTTACCCGAAAAAAATTTTGCCGGGCTCGTAAGCGAGTACCACGCATACTCGGCGACTGAGTTTGAGCCCCCTAGTACTCTCTTGGATGGAGAACACTGCACCAAGATTTCAGCCTTCTAGCTTCTCAAATCCCCGAGTTATGAACTTACCCGAAAAAAAAACTTTAGCAGGCTCGTACGCGGGCACCACGCTTACCTGGGGCTGGTTTTGAGCCCACCAATGCCCGGTTGGGCGGGGAACATTACCTCAAGACTTCAGCCTTGTAGGTTCTCAGATCCTCGAGTTATGAACTGACCCCAAAAAAAGTTTGGCGGGCTCGTACGCGGGTACCGCGCGGGTTTTGGCGCCCATTTTGGGGACTGGGGGCGGTACGTGCATGTAGATTAATTTCCCGAAATTCCAGCCCCGCAGCTTTTATAGGTCCTGAGATGTGACAGACACACAGACACAGACGCACAGACATACGGACACACAGACAAACTCTCGTCAATATGCATTTTTCGCACTGCATTGCTGCAAAAAACGCATAAAAACGCATAACCAGGAAGTTGAAATTTTCGTCCACGTGCAATCCCGCCCATTTAATTCAGCTTCCACGTGCGCTTATGTTCCGTGTACCGTTCAGACTTTCAGTGCCAAATTTTGCAGCTTAGGAACATACCGATTGTTTTTCCTTACACCAAAGTGCAAAATAGTGGAAATTCCTAAAAGTAAACGTTCGCTGGACGGCACTGCGCAAAACGCATGATTGGGTCGGCTATCCTGGCACGTGTCGCTATTTATTCCTGGTTGTAACAGTATCTAACACGACACATTCGTCGATGCTAGCAAAGCATGCAACATGCGCCCGTCTCAATTAGATTTATTTTTTATGCGTTTTTTGCAGCTATGCAATGCAAAAACGCATATTGACGAGGGATTATCTGTGTGTCCGTGTGTGTTTGTCTGTGTGTCTGTGCGTCTGTGTGTCTATGTGTCTGTGTGTGCGTCCATCACGCACTTTCATCTCAAGACCTATAAAAGCTGCAGGGCTGAAATTTCGGGGACTTAATCTACATGCACGTGCCGGCCCCAATCCCCAAAACTGGCGCCATCACCCACGTGGTACCCACGTACGGGCCCGCCAAGGTTTTTTTTGGGGTAAGTTCATAATTCGGGGATCTGAGAAGCTAGAATGCTGAAATCTTAGGGGAATGTGTCCCCGTCCTAGTAGGTGTTAGCACACTCAAACCCATCCCCCAGACAAGCGTGGTACCCGCGTACGGGCTTGCCAAAATTTTCTTCAGGTAAGTTCATAACTGGAGGATCTTTCCTTTTAAGATTTTTTTGGCGCCGATAATGTTCATTTTACCATTAAAAGTAGACCCAGGCTGTAGCGCGTCAGGCCTCCGGTGCGATCATGCGCTTTTGCACTAAGCATGAAGATCGCTAAGAGCAAGAATGGATCTTGCATCATACTCTAACATTTAGACTCATGTTCGCTGTGTTTTGGCCTCTTCCGCATGCGGGAGAACGGCATCGGCTGGGATGAAAGCGTATCATTACGGGGCCGTATGGACTTCCAGCATGCATAATTATCAGTTTTTTATATGAATCTCAGCCGTTTTTCCAGTGAATGCTTATTCCTTGAAAAGATGCAAATTAGAAGAAAGTCTGAAGAGGATTACGAAGTTCGCAGAATGCACTCGCTTTTGAGT